TATTTTATCCTCTTTCTCTCTAGCCTTTGGTATAACTGTACCTCTACACTGTAGTATAACAGGAGGTACTAGCTGTTGTTGTTGTAGATAATATACTAACATTTAATAACATCCAAGAAGGTCACAGTTAGTTACACAGTGACGTACATCACATACGTCCGTGAAATTTCATAGGCCTACTGTAGGTAAACATAGAAAGAGCAATAATAGTAAAACTCGAGCGTCACGACATTGCGAAGTGTCTGCTCTTGTTCCTCGTATCGTACTCACTCGAGTCAATCCGAGATGGTCCGAGTGAAGTTTCATGCAAATGTTTCGTACGGAAAAAAAAATCGCCAGCGGGAAACGCTACAATTTAAAAACTGAGGGCGCTCAACTTAATTATCTAAAATTATAAACAATATCGTGAACTTCACATCTATTATTATTATTTTTTAACATTAATTACATTACAAGGTTAAGGCCAAGTTCATAAATGCCGGAATGATATATTTAATTTAATTATTTAATAATATTTACCTTATGCTCTGTCCCACTTTAATTTCATGTTTCAAATTTGTTTCAATTTTTTTTCCGAAATTTCAGTCAATGTCACGTGAAGCGTGACTATTGTGTCAGGCCCTGGACCCTAGATTAGCTAGGGGCATAGTCTAGGGAGGGGCCTAGGTAGGAAATAACTCAGCCTGTAATTAGGCCTAGGTTAGCCTCTTTTGCTCTAACCTTAATTGATAGTATCTATACTACTGGTGGTGGTACTAGCTGTTGTTGTTGTAGGTAGTAATTACATTTTGATAACAAACATACAAAAAGCTCACAGTTGGTAACAGACGTACATCACATAAATCGTTAAGATTTAATAGGCCTACCGTAGCTAAACAAAGAACAATACAGTATTCTTCAGCGTCACGACATTTTGAAGTGCCTGCTCTAAACGAACTCGAGTCGAGTCAATCCGAGACGGCCCGAGTGGAGTTTCATGTAAATGTTTCGTACGGGGAAAAATCGCATCCGGTTTAGGCATGATGGGTACTACTACCACGAGGTAGGGGCGCTCTATTGGCAATCAAATACAGTAGCGTTCGGAACTCTAACAAAATTGCGTTCGATTGACTCTATGTCACGATATGGTCATGATGTAGCAATTAAAGATGGCGGAAAATGGTAAATCCGGTTTAGGCATGATGGGTACTACTACCACGAGGTAGGGGGAACGTTATTGACAATCGAATAGCGTTCGGAACTCGAACAAAATTGCGTTCGAAACTCAAACACGCGTTATAGAGACGCAGCACACGTTCGCCACAAACGCCTTTTACCGTCATTTGAAAGACGCCCTCTAAAACATGGTAGTACTCTTCGTGATCAACGACATAACGTGGTAACTCCCAAAGTTACTCATTTTTAAAGTGTTTTTAGTGTAATAATAATAATAATAATAATAATAATAATAATAATAATAATAATAATAATAATAATAATAATAATTTTGGCTTATATAGCGCATTATGCTAAAGCCTCAATGCGCTTAACAGTAAAAATAAAATTCGGGGAAAAATTAAGAAAAATACAAGTTAATTAATTGTTGTCTTGTATATTATTATTATAGTGATATAGGTGTAATTTTTGCCCTACCTGACGTGGAAATGTACCGAATACTCAGAACATTTGAAAACAACTGCGAAAAAAAAAATCGCAAGTTGTTCTCGGGTGGGACTCGAACCTACGATCTCCAGATCACAAGCCTGGCATCATACCTCTAGACCACCGAGCTTGCGCCTGATGGCCAGGGTTGAATTCGAGTCCAAGTAAGCAGCGGGTACTGCAGTGTTGATAGTAATTGTTATTGTCGTGATGGAATGATAGACAATAACTGGATTTGCGTCAGGAGAAACATGTATAGGTGTAATTTTTGCCCTACCTGACGTGGAAATGTACCGAATACGTTTGAAAACAACTGCGAAAAAATCGCAAGTTGTTCTCGGGTGGAACTCGAACCCACGATCACCAGATCACTAGCCTGGCATCATACCTCTAGACCACCGACATTATAGTGATGTTTTCGATTTCTACTGTTTGCTATCAACTTAAAGAAACAAATCTCGTATAGGCCTGTATGTACTCTGTATGACGAAAATTAATCTTGAATCTTGAAAAACATAAGATGCAAAAAAACAAAAAAAAAACAACAAATAGACACACGCTCCCGCTGGGAGCCTATTTTTATACTATAGTGCTGTGTCTGTATCTAATCTTTGTATATCGCCCTATTGTATATTATACAGATGCTGAAAAAATGCTAGAAGGCATGTGGAAGAGTGGCTCACCTGACCTGTCTTTGGAAACTGACGAAGTCGGGCCATCTGGTGGAGATTTTGCGTTTGAGCGTGGTCACTACCGACTAATATGTGATGATGGTACTGATAAGGATGCTGGAAAGTAAGGAAGCCTTTTCTATAATGAGCTTTACATCATATGTGTACAGTATATTTCTTACGTCGTGATAGGCCTATAATATTGAACTGTGTATATATCTTTCTATATATAGAGAGAGATGTATAGATATATCTAGATAGGTACCAGTATATCATTATAATGATTCATGTCACTATCTGCATTTCTTACTGTTTGTTTCTCTGCAGGTATGTGGTTGTGTGGAAGCGAGTTGAAGGGAAATTGTGTATGTATTTGGACATCTTAAACAGCAGTTTGCCAGCGTAGCCACTGATGACGGCAATCTGTTTTTAGGATACTTATTGGGTCTACCATCAATCTAATTAAATATGTAGTTGTGCATGTAAGAAGGAATTAGGAACAAAATAAAAGTATTTGTGAATTTTCTTTCCTTTAGTTAATCCAGTGTCAATTTTTTTTATAAGTAAATGTTGTTTTGACTTAAGACTTGACATTTTAATACTTTCATTATACAGCGCCTGTATGCTGTTGATCTCCCTAATGCTTTAGGATCTTTCATAATGCAATAGTTTTCTCGGAACGATCAATGAAAAACATTTATTTATTTATTTATTATTATTTTATTCATTTTCTTACGATTTTAACATATCAATTTTCAGAATTACCGGTATTATTTTAATAAATCTGTGTCTTAACATCAATTAGTGATTAATATTTTGCTGTTATTATTTTTGTGCATCGATAAGCGTAGCCCTACTCTAATACTCATACTCATCATCTCATCACCATCATCACTCAAACTGAAATTTGCCATAATATATTTAATTAGTTAACAGTCATCTCACATAACCTTCTTCCCCATGTCAATACTTTTGGATCCGTCACTATATTACGAGGGTACAGCACATTCAAGCCTCAGGAAAAGCCAAACCAAATCGAATTCAAGTCAACTCGGCCCCAAGTCAACTCGGCCCCATGTCAACTCGGCCCAAGTCAACTCGGCCCCAATTTACTGCGTATTTACTGAATATTTACCAAAGACGGTACTGTGGTGACGAAATACTCTTCACAATCAATAATGGTACTTCATGTGCCTTAAGACAGAATAGGACCGGTTGTTGCGGACCGGTCATCGTTCTGGGATTATGGTTTCTCCTCGATTTTCTCATTTAATAACAAGTTAACATTTCTATACTGTATTTAATTATATTCGCCACCGCGTAACTTCCCCCATCTCCTCTGAAACCGCTGGCAGGAATTATGTGGTCATATTTCATACACTGGGGCTTCTATGTCACGAACACATTCCGCTACTTTTTAAGGCTGGATATTGGATAACAACGAAAAAAAAACAGCCAAACACCACCGAAAATCAGTACCTGTTTTGCCATGTTTCGCAAGTTGCTTACGTCACGTAAATACAATTAATCACATCTATTCTGTACTACAATGCTTTGGTCTAAAAATTATCGAGTCTGGCCGTAAAAGTACCAGTCTATGTTTCGCAGCTTCATTACGTCACCGCCCAGTACTTCTCACGTTGTCAACAAAATGGGTGACAAGCATGTTCCCGTACCTCTTCGGAGTACCCATTGCATTAGGCCCCATAAAAAAATGATTAGTTTATCATCCCTTATACACATCTAGATGTGTATAAGAGACAGCAATTAATCACATCTATTCTGTACTACAATGCTTTGGTCTAAAAATTATCGAGTCTGGCCGTAAAAGTACCAGTCTATGTTTCGCAGCTTCATTACGTCACCGCCCAGTACTTCTCACGTTGTCAACAAAATGGGTGACAAGCATGTTCCCGTACCTCTTCGGAGTACCCATTGCATTATACTGGATATAGTAGTTTTATGGCACAAAACATCTGCGCAATAAATGGCATGTTCTAGAAGTCGATCAGGTAAAAATAAAGATACACCTGGACACAAGCCATGATATAACCTCGGCCTAGTCATACCGGCTATCCCTACACAGGCCTAGCCTAGGCCTATAATTTATAGGCACAGACAGGCCTAGGCTCTGGCCCAGGCCTAGGCGCAGCCTAGCCTAGCCTATGATGTCGATCAGAGATAGGCTTAGACCTAGGGACCTAGGCTCAGGTGTTGTTAGCATACCTAGCATACCTATCCTCTATCTCTCGAATCCTGGTCGATTTGGATAGTGCATTAAGATAGATAGGGTCAAGCCAGCTCCACCAATCAATAGGCCTACCCTGAATTTACGTAAACACGCGTCAGGGCAATTGATTAATGTTTCATGTTCTTTTGAATGTCAGTAGTTCAGATAAGCCTTACATGCATCCACCTGATTCAAGACCAACACTTCTCTCATGCCCAACTAGGCTACGCCTACTGTATATCAGGGCCAGTGGAACGTTTTTCAAAGTGGGGGGGGGGGAGAGACCCACTTATAAGATGAATGGGAATATGAATCATGCAGATCTGGAATCAAATCTACGGGGTCCGGGGTCCTCCCCCGGGAAAATGTTGATTTCTAGATGACGGGTGACTTTTCTCGACTTTTGAGCTAGGTGTCTAATGTTTGTTCTTCAAAATTCAAGGTTTTCCCCCTCTTGAAAACGGTCAGGTAAACTTTCTCATTCTTATTACAGTAAATAGGCCTGATATGTGTGTAAACATACATAAAAAAAAAATAAGTAGTTGCGTAGGCCTACGTATTCTTTTTTCAATGAATTGATAAGCTAGATGGCGGGAAATGAGCTTTTCCGACTTCTGAGGTGTCTTAATTACTTTTAAGTTCTTTAAATTCAAGGGTTTGCCCTCTTGAAAACGGTCAGGTAATTTTTTCCCATTGCTTTTTCAGGCCTTATGTGTGTACACATACATAAAAAATAAAAAAAAAATATGAGTAGTTGCATACGATTTTTTTTCCATGAATCGATAAATCCCAAAAAGAAAGGGGGGTCTGGGGGTTCTCCCCCGGGAAAATTTTGATTCCTAGAAGGCGGAAATTAGTTTTCCCGACTTTTGAGACCTGTGTCTTTTAATTAAGTTCTTCAAAATTCAAGGTTTTCCCCTCTTGAAAATTATTATAATGAATCAATGAACCCAAAGAGAAAAGAGAGGTTCAGGTTCTTCCCGGGAAAATGTTGATTTTTAAATGGTGGGAAATAAGCTTTCCCGACTTCTGAAGTATCTTTTAGCGACTTCAATTTAGGTTCTTCCCCTCTTGAAAACGGTCAGGTAAATTTTTCCGATTGTTATTACAGTAGATAGGCCTTAGGCCTATGTGATACATACATAAAAAAAAATTTAGTAGTTACATACGAATTTTTTTTTCCATGAGTCGATAAATCCCAAAAAAGGGGGTCCGTGGGTTCTCCCGCAGGAAAATTTTGATTCCTAGAAGGCGGGAAATGAGCTTCCCGACTTCTATTGTCTTTTAATTACTTTTAAAAATGGGCTTGGTAAAAATGGCCCCAATGAAAAAATTCAGTAATAGAAACGACTTTTTTTAATCTTCAAATATTTAAATACTGTAAAATAGCAAGTACTGCGAATCAATAAATAAAATATGGTCCCACATTATAAAATTCAATAAAAAAAAAAATTTAAATTCTGTAAAATACCCTGTAGCTAAAATTGAATTAATAAATCAACAGAAACCATATGCATATTTGAAAATTAAAATAATTTTTATTATTCTCTTTTTCTTAAAATATCAACCCATTTTTGCGGGGTTTAGCAATACCCTGATTGAATTTCTGGAAAATTGTGATACCCCTTCCCCTGGCCACAAATAAATTATTTTAGTATTAATAAATGCATGATTTATGTTGATTTATTGATTAAATTGTTGCTATTTTTTTACATTTAAATGAAAAAAAAAGTGTTATTCATGGCTTATTTTTTTTATTTTTTTTTTTTTTGAATAAGTAATTCCTGCAAAAGGTAAAATATAAATGGCTATTTAATTTTGATGGGTAGATTCTTTTTAAAAAATGCATATAATGATTTTAAAAAAATCAGTTTTAATACAGAATTTTATTATTGGGGGCCATTTTTACCTACCTGTCATTTGGGGCCATTTTTACTGGGGCCATTTTGACCGTACAACATAGGATCTGTGATTGCACTTACTCCAGCTAACTTGTTCCAAACGCAAGTTACTCTGGCTAAGGTGCATCCAACATAAATCAATGTTTCTGGTTTCAATCGCACTCAAATCCGGCTAATGTGTACCCTCAACCACAACTTAACGTCCCTAGTTTCCGTTACTCTTGCTAACATGCAACATAAATCATATCCGATGCAACAACCATAAATTAACATTTTGGATTCTAGCTGGTCTTTACATCTAGGAAGATTATCAAAGATCATCAATTTACACATCCACGAGCGGCAATATATATGTATCCAAGATCATCACTATGGATTCGATAGTCAAGATCATTATATATGATATAAAAAGCATCAATAATGAATGCATGATCAATGTATGGATTCCAGATCATCAATATACAAATTCAAGATCATCAATAATGGATTTAATTAGGATAGAAATTCACTCCAGAATGGCGCACCATTCTACTCTAAAGTCTAACCTGCTTGTCACTGAGGCTTTAAGCTAGCTTGACCTGGACTAACTAAGCCACGGTTACGTACGTCAGTATCGGTTTCAACCGTTTCAAATCCAACTAAAACTTCTGGCTTTATCGCGGAAGAATTATATACTACTGAGCCGATGTCGCTACGCAAAACGGTATCCGACGCATCGGTTATTCCTCCGCAGAAAAAGTAGCATGCAATTTGCATAACAATATTCGACAGGAGGAGAGAGTACTACGAACTTTGCAAAATATGATAGTCAAGCGAAACGCCCTTGATGCTTTGCAGCAATGGTCCGATGAATCTAACTTCAAATTGAACTCTACCATTAGGTTTTATTTTGGTCGCAAACAATTACCAGAGTTGGATCTTCAAATTATGGGTCAAATCCTCCCTGTGATCAACAGTGTAATGTTACTGGGTGTTTTGTTTGACGAAGATCTCAAATGGGATAGCAATACCTAATCCATATGTAGTAAAGCTAATCGTAAACAAGTTATTCTCTGATCAGATCACTAAAACGTGCAGGGTTTTAATCGGGACGAACTAGTTGAAATTTACAAGAGCTATGTCCGTCCAGTGTTAGAATATACTGCACCATTATGGCATCATGGCCTTAATGTAAAATTTTCCAAAATGATTGAGAGAATTCAGATTAGAGTATGCTGATGCATACTCCAAAGTGATTATGTTTCATATGACTCGGCCCTATCAGTCCTGAGTCTTGAGAGGCTGTCTACCGGCAGAGATTCTCTTTTTAACCGCTTTGCTATCAAATCATCTAAATCTGATCGTTTTAATTTCCTCGTTTCCAAAATCTCATAATATTCACAATATGTCAAAACACACTAGTTATGCATACAAGAAATTCAAGTGTAAAAACAGAGAGGTTCTACTCCAGCCCTGTACCATTTATGGTCAGGATTCTTAATAACAATAAATAATCAATCAAGGTCTTCAACAAGAAAAGCTATAAAGAGATGAAAAGGGAGAGGCAGAGGGGAAGGGGAGAAGGGGGAGGGGTGGGAAATTGACGAATCCTCCCATGTGTCTTTTTTCTTTACTCTCTTCCCTTGTTTGCTTGTATCAATTATGTCCTTTGGTTGGGTCGTGCTTTTCGA